GCCATCACAGCCTGCCTGTCTGCCTGCCTGCCTGCCCCCCTTGAGTTGCGTTTAAGTAGCTGCATTATGGCCATAACTAAGAAGCTAAATTATATCCAACTAATGGCTGTTTGTGTTTCTTTCCTGCCGGCGGGTTGGAAGCGGGGGCGGGCCTATCTCTAATTGAATGATTTTTGCTTGTTTAAGATTCCAGAATCGTTTTACTTTTTTTTAGAATTTCCTCCGCAACACGACAGCGAAATGTGGCCAAGAACTTTCTCTATTTGGCCACGACAAGTTTTTCACGACGAGGAGCTTCAGAGGTAGCTAGATTATTATCTTAACTGGCATGTTTGTAAAGAGATTATATGTAGCTTTATTATTATAGCATTTCTTTGTTAAATTCGCTTCAAAGTCTATAACCCCTTTGATAAACATTACTTTTAATTTGTATTTCGACATTTATTTTATACTTCCTGCCCTTAACAGAGTTTCCATTTTATTGGAGCACTTCTTAATACCTATGGCTGGCATTCTTTAAAGGATTACAGCAGGACATTATCTTTATAGCCCACTCCAGGGCAGATCTTTCTTAATGAATCCCATTTTGATTGCTACAGCTCCAAGGTTCCAGCTGCTGGCCGACTATCCCAATAAGATGCTCCATAAACCTTTAACAACTCTTCTGGCTTTTTCTTCCATATAGGTACAGTATATATGTAGACCCGGATCGACCCACACGCGAACGCAGCCTGCTCCTCTTTGGAGCATAAAAATTTATGATTTGCCTTTTCGGTTCGGCCCGTTTTTTATATTTTTTGTCGCCAACAAACTCGTTTGCAGCCTTTTCCATTTGCGGACTTTGTGCGCCGGCGTGGCTTCGTTTTTGTCTTTTTCCACTGCAGTTTTTAATTAAGTCTTGCTGTTGGGTATGTGAGGTGTTAACTGCCTTCCCGAGCTGACGGACGGCAATTTGTAGCCCCAAGGATTTCGTTTTCAATCTAAAAATATTGAAGTTTATTGCCCCAGGCCTTAGGAAGGAGGACCAACCACTTAGTATGTCAGTCAGCCATCTTTGGTTGCGGGGACTGGCAGTCAAATATTTCTGTTTCTGCGAATGGAGGTTTTACTTTTGTTTGCCATTGTCTGGTCTCCTGCAGACTGAAGACAATGGGCATTATAAATTCATCAGACAGACTCCCCGGCTTAGATATGGGGAGCTGGGAGTCGAAGGGTCGGCCTGCATAATGTATCCCAAGTATCCGTAAGATGCCTTTTGCAAAATCGCAAAATGGCGCAGCGCTTCACAGAACAATGCAAAGCAGGACTACTTCTCTGTCTCTGAGGTTGACATTTGTTTTTGGTTTTTAGCTGCTCTCTGGCTTTGTGTTTAATTGTGTCAAATTTTGTATGGAAAAGCTGGAAAGTGGAGCACTGCGGTGCACGTAGGTAGGTGCAAATGGAAGCCACTTCATTGAAAGAATCCTGTGGCAAGGACCCAACAAAGGGATGTGTGAATGGCCCAGATGGAGACTCGGTTCACTAAGAGGGCGTTAGTTCTCTGATTAAAAGGAACAAACAATATGGGGGAAATATGTGTTTCAGCTTCATGCTCTAGTTCCTCCAACAAAGAAAGGGATTTAGGGGAGAGACAAGCTTTGCAAAATATATTTTTATAGTTAATAGTTACACAGGGAAACCAAAATTTTGGTTCCAAATCTACCGTAACTAAACCCATCTATCTATGTATATTTTTTTTTTCAAAACTATGAATGATATAAGCCCTGTTTTATTTTAAATAGAACCATCATACCCCACACTTTCCATGTAAATTAAACACACATGTATGTATTTTTTGTGTCCCATTTAGTTTTTTCATTAAAAATTCAAATAAAATCAGAAAAATGAGGTGTCAACTGTGTTGTGAATTGCATTTTCGGGGTGCGGTTGGCCAAGTTATTAGACCAAATGGTAAATGGCTTGTGCTGCCATTTAATGGCTGGCCGTAATTAAATATTTAAACGTATTTAACTGGTCCACCGTCAGCCGAAAGTCAAAGCCAAGCCAACATTAGCATTCGAAAAAAAATATATATCTATTTTCAAAAACAAAATAAAAACTTCTGTGGGCGACTGTTGTGACATAAAACGTTTGTCAATCTGTGAGTTTGAAGTCAAAAGCCCAGAGCTCAGAGCATTTTCTGTGTGGGTCTCAACAAGTCCCAATAGGATCATTGGAAATATTTTCAGATTTTCAGTTTCTTGATATTTTATTTCTGTCTGTTTGCCACTTGTCTAACTGGTTTCCTTCGTCCTGCAGGACATTGCCTTATGGAGGACAAAATGTTCTTACTCATCTTATCGCCTCGGTCCAGTCCTGAGCTCAGGGAAGTAAAGCGTGTAGGAAAAATTGTTTTCCATTCTCTGGTGATTTTTATGGATTTACAAGGACATACGCACACTTGGATAAATAGGATAGCTTTCTGCCCCATCCCCAACCCATTCCCATCCCTCCATGTTATCCGGTTTCAGTGTTTGTCTGTGCTTAAGTAGCCGGAAGTAGATTTTCTTTTCACATGCTCTGCCCCGAGCAAATTAATTGAGTTGAAAACGTTGCTATTGTTGCTATTTTTGCAAGCACGATCCGTGCAAAAATAAATAAATAATCGTCATCAGCTTAACATTTATTGATTGTAAATTGAGCAGCTCGAGCGTGAAATATAAAGTGGATTATAGTTTTAATGGGAAAAGACAGAAGCGACAAAAACAACAAAAGCCTGCACTATATTAAGGACATTTACAGGGATATATTACACACGTAGACAAGGGAGGTATTCAGAGGGGTTGGAAAGAGAGATTATCTTTGGAATTGACTGGGAATTCAAGCTTAGGGATAAACTATACTGGCTATAGATATATTCTCCATTAAATAGCCTACAAATTTAGTCAAGTCTTTAATAATATATATCCTTTCCAAATATGGAACTTTCAAAGCCATTATCCTGCAAACAAATTACCCGAGGCCATTGCCCGATTGATGGCTACATGTGTAGACAACTATCCCCCTGCTAATCCCCAACATATCAGTCCTACCCAAACTCATACCAATCCCAAAATAAATTAATCAACGAGCGCGAAAGGACAACAGTTTAGTTGGGGCAAAGGATAAGGGGAAACGGGCTGATGGATTCGGTTTGGTTGTTCAGGAAATCGTAAAACCATTAAAAGCCTCATTTGGAACGCTTTTGACGCACTTGGGGCTCGGCTTAGGGATTATTTGTAGGCCCCGGAATTGATTCATTCAGACAGGAGACCACCCCCAGCCAGGACTTTTAATTGTGTGAACGATTTCGTAATTGATTGTGCCCTCTTATGACTGCTGGCTTTCCACTCGGTTTCATCTCCAACAGAGACAGAGACAGATTCTCCTGGCCCGCTTTGCTGTCTTGGCACAATGGTTTCCTCCGGGCAAGAAAAAGGCCAAGGAAAAGGGTTGCGGGCGGTCATGGCCTTTGGAGCAAAGACTAAGCAGATTTCCAACTAATTCCATTCCGAATATTCCTAGGACGACAACCCTTTCAGGAGGTTTGGGTAATTGATTTGCCGAATTACACATTTTCCATGTCAGAGTCATTTGTTTGTGGAAAATCTAAAGGAGAGTGACGGGTTAATTTGGCCAGAAAAAGGTTCTTTGATTGAAGGTCTAAAGACTTTAATTAAATCCCAATTATATATCCAAGATCTTTCCTAACAGACTCATAAAACCGCACTAATAGATACAATCGTGATATGGGCCAAAAACAAGCTGCTAAATTTCGCACGCAGCTCTCAAAAGGCATTTAAGCACGGGGTCTCCTGACTAAACCAAAGATGCTGACAACGATGATGATGATGGAGCTGGATGGGGATGGAGCCTGATGACACACAGCCAGAGAAAAAACGAGACCAATCCAAAGAATGGCGAAGAAAAAAAACACACCAGAATCGCACCACACAGCTAAAGTAGCTGAAAGATACACATGTATCCGCCAGATACCAGACCCAGGCAGAGAGTGCGATGTGTGAATTATCCTGCCTCAAAGTATTTAATGCGCTTTTCACATGGCAGCAAATAAACAACCAAGTAAGAGAGCTAAAAATAACCAAAAAAATAAAAAAAAACTCAGAGAACGATGGTGAGTCGTAAGGAAAGACATTGGAAACCCATTTCCAATCATTACTCATCCAAAAACAAACACAAAAACACAAAATAAATTGTTGGAAAATCAGTCGAATGATGGACAGCAGAACCCCCCAAAAGAAAAGCTGTTGATAAACTGCCGCTGAGAAGGAAACGGGCGGAAAATTAATTAAAGAACGTGAAAATGCAACAGGCTGACCCCGGGTTGCAGTTCAACTTATTAAACATTTCTGGTTTCTTGTTACGATTTTTTTTTTGGGAATACATATAAGCAGGCATTACAAATTACACAACTTTAAGAAAAAAACTCTAAAAACTGGTTTACCTTTCCTCAGCTGAAGCCAAAGAAACGATCTACCTGACCATCTTTTGTGACCTACGGGCAGGTAGAATGCGGGCTGGTTACCCTCTGCCTTCCACTCTCTCTCTCGTGGACCTGGAGGACCTGGCCAGGACCTCCTGCTGTTTGCTCTGGTGGTTGGAAATTGTTTTCTTGGCGCAACAGGATATTCGTTCGTTTTTTTCAACTTCTACTCTCTGGTCTACAAATTGAGTCTGGAGTTCAAATGAAGACATAAAAAACTCGTTGACCCACATGAGGTGAGCAGAAATACTAGAGATTACCGCCCAAAAATAATTGATAAGACTTCCAAAAATTGCAAAATTGTTGGGGTAACTACATACAGACTGTAACTATTCCAGGAAAATAATTTAATCTTGAAACTTGAAAGAGCTAGAGTGTCTGCACTAAAAGATACAGTATTTCCATCCGATATTTTGAAGTACTTTTATTAAGATATTATTAATACTAAATTTTGTATTTAATTTTAATAATTTTCTATTTAATTTCTTAAAAAAGCACCAACCTTTCCGCCGACTTTCAGTTCATAGCCCATTCCCAGCGGCGTTTTCAACTGGACGGGGCACACGAATCCAATATTCCGATGCGGACTCTCCACTCCGGTCTGGTGCTTTCGGGTGGTGACCTTGGTCACACTGCGTGTAGGCGTGGCAGCCGTGGAGGCAGCCGAGGTGGTGTTCTCCGCCACGCACAAATCCTCACCGCCGTGGACTGGGAACTTGGAGCACTCGAGATTCTCCGGCCAGTTGAAGTTGTAGGTCTTCATCAGTTTCTCGCAAACGCGGGCCGACTCGCAGAGGGAGCGGCACGGTGGAATGGGTCGCTCCAAGATGGTGCAGACCGGAACGTAGAGGGAGCAGAGGAAGAGCTGCAGATCATCGCTGCAGCCGATCTTGACGAGCGGAGCAAACTGATGGACTTCCAGGCCGGCCTCCTCCTGCTTGGTGTGTCCAATAAGATTCGGCATAATGGTCATGTTGTAGGGTATATTCTTGCAGATCGAAATGGTGATCGGTTCGCAGCGGTTGTGATGGGGCAGGCCGTCCAGTTCAGTGCCCGAGCTGGACATCAGGCCGCCGCCACTACGGTAGTAAGGACCCGCGTCCAAGGGGCTCTGGTCGTAGCGTTGGACCCCTTGGATTAGGGTGGGCAGAATAAATAGAATCTGCAGCCACATTTTGTATTTTTAAAAAATTTAGACTCTTTTTTGAAGTCAAATATAAACGATTCTTTATTTGTTTAAGGTATTTCTTTTTCTTTAAAACACGCACATATTGTTTAATTTTTAGCACTCACTGTTAAGACTTTTCTCTTAATTTTTGTTGAGATATTTATTTTACTTATTTGATTTTAGTATTTAGTCTTCACACTCCCACGAAACACTTGACACCTTTTTAAGCATTTGCCGGCGGTAAATATTTGGCTTGGCTTTATTAAAAAACAATAAATATTTTTGCGGTAATTCTGGCTCTTTATTTTTTCTGGTTTTTTGCTTATTTTTCTTATTTTGTGTGTTTGGTAATTACTATTATTTTCACAGAGGGGGGGCATTTATTATTTTTCGAGACATTGTATTTGTTTTGGAACTTTTCTCTTCGGTTTATGGGGCATGTGCCGGCTATTCAATTTTTTATGAAAGCCCACGATATTATTTTACCGTCGTTTTAAAAATAATCTTCTGATTATCCCGCTTGTTTACTTGCGGTAAACAATTATAGAACTCGTCGAAATATCGCGCGAATATAACCGTAATATTATTATTACACTGAAACGGGGTTTACGTCAAAAATCGAACACGGACCCGGAGCTGGACAAATATTATCCGCGAGCACACCCGCATGGCATGGACTTCGCTGAGAGACTGACAAACTGAGAAATTGACAAACCCGTCCTGAGATACCATGCTCTGAGAAACCGAGATACTCTCTGCAAGGAAAGGGGGGGCTGTCATACCACTCGGAACTCTCCCTCGCGCTGAATATGTCCGCTCTCGGGTCTTGCGCTCTCTTCAGCTATAGCATAAAGTCAGACCTTTATGCCACAGCTGGGGGGCGACCTTGAATTTACCCCCACAAACGTCGTATTCAGCGCGAGAGCGCGAAGAATCTGGAGAGGAGAGAGCCGGAGAGCATTCAAAGACAGGGTTGTTAGACCATTTGTTTTGGATGCTGTCTCTGGTGGGTCTCTCCCGCTGCCTCTTTTTGAGGATTTCTTGGCCTCCTGTTGATTAGACCAAAAAAAAAAATATCTAAATATCAACAAATGGCCAGAAGTGGGACGATGAAATTAATTAGAATTTAAAATGATTATGCTATAAATAGGGATAAAAGGGCTTTTGTTGCCGAATGTATTCCAAGGATTAGATAATTTGATATTTTTGGGAAGGAGTTTTAAATTAAAACCTAAAAAAAGGGGCTTAATTTTTTCCATATATATTTATTTCTTTTATTTTATCTCCATTGATCCACATCCGTTAAATTCCGCATTGTTCTTTTTCTTAATGTGATTTCATATCTCTCGGTAATGCCGTTAGAAGACATTAGCCCTCTATCGGAGCATAGCAATTACTCTTGGGACCCTCCCTGCCCCCTAGATTCTAGATTCTAGATACTAGAATATTTGCACGCATTAATTTCCTTGATTTTCTGCGACAATTTTTATCGCCTAGCATTTCTCTGCGCACTTGCATTTATCATTTATCTTTATCTATGTGTGTGATTTTTTTTTTTGTCCATGACTTAATTAAGTCATTAACTTGCGTTTAATCTGTGCTTTAGCATGACTTTAGGTATATATGCCTGGCATTTCTCTAATGACCCTTTGTTTACCGGGCAGGGGGCAGCCAGCTTCCGAGCATCTTGCGCCAGTCAATAAACTTGTTATATTGACAATAATGATGACATTAGAGGAGCCTCTTGTCTTTTGTCTTTGTCACCTGTGGATCCCTTCTGTCCGATCAGGCCTTCTTTCTTCCTCTCTCGTAGCTTTCTTATGTTTAACAAACATATCGCGCTCTCCCTCTCTTTTTGGAGGCATGCCATGCACTCACTTTTCTCTCCCTCTCGCTGGTAAACAAGTGTTACCGGTTTAGCCGGCAATGCTCTGTCTAAGCTCTACGTTCTTCGCTCTTCTCTCTGCGGTGCTGCCCATTATGCTGGGCCCCCTCCCCCCATTCCAAGCTCCTCGCTTGACGTTTCTTCTCGGCTTCTACACTTCGTCGGCTTGTTTAATAAAAAGCGCCAAAGTTGGGAAGCATAAAAAGCCTTTTTTCTTTTCCCCCTGATTCTTCCTTGGTCTCCAAGTGCACTTTAAGAAATTAAGAGTAGGTAGAATGTATCCATCATATTTTAAAAAATATTTACCCATAAACAATTTTTTGTAATTTAATATTTTTTAGGTCTATTTTTGAAAGGTTCAAACCAGAATGATAGTAATAGCTAGGATTTTTACTTTTAAAAATAGTTTTTACATAGAATATATACTTTTTTATAGAAAATATAGAATATATATAGTAATATTTATGATCTTTGAACAATATTATGTAAAATATATGTAAAATATTATAAAAGGGATAAGCCACAATAGTCATAGTAGTTAGGATCTGTGAACTATTTTTAATATCACAACAATATCAATATCAAAGAATATATCACAGCAATAGTAGTAGTTAGAATCCATGACACATATTTAATACTTAATTGTTGAAATAAAACGTATATTTTTGATAATTTTTAGCTTCTTTTTTAGAGAGCTTCAAGCCACGATGTAGTATTAGTTAGAATCCATGATACTTTTAAAACTACTTTTAAAATTAAATATGTATTTTCTTTACATTTTAAGACCTACTTTTGAAAGGTTTGTTTTATAATGATAGTACAGGTTAGAATTCAGGAAACTTTTAAAAAACATTTTGACATGGAATATATTTTGTTTACTATTTTTAACGCATATTTTTCAATTCAAGCCACAATGATAATAAAAAAAAATTCTTTCAGTGTAAGACAGGCTCCATTGTTGTTGCTCAGTCGGTTTCCGTTTGCCGCTTGTTGTTGTTGTAGCTGTGTGTTGCCGTTTTCCAGTTGCCGCTCGCTTATGTTTACAAGTGAACGAACTTTGACGTTTCCCTCTCCACGGCTCCCACACTTGTTAGAAAGTGTTTGTGCCTTATTGTTGTTGTTCTTCTATCTGGCTTGTTTTTTTGGAATATATAATTTAATGTAATTAAAAAAAAATAATTATATGAATGCAGATGAACTTGGCTAGATAAGGGAAAGTAAAATTGAATTTGAAGCTTCCTCCTTCTCACCTTCTGTTAATTTCCTGGAGTATAATTGGCTTTAATGAGACATGATAAAGGGTTCCACTAATATTCTTTAAGCGGAGTAATTAATAGGCAGAATAATCCAACTAATAATAGGGAATATGGTAATTACTGCTTAAATTCTGCTTTAAGCTGGAGCTAAGCCTCGCTTTTCTAATTTTCCTCTTCAATCAAAGTGATTAGAGTGGCTTTTCCTCTGCCTTCTTTAGGAACTCCTCAAGCATGTGATTATAGAGACTTTTAGTCCCACCGAGCAAAAAAAAATATACGAAATAGGAAACATCTCATTTGTAGCCAACAAAATACAAGGGATAAACAAATCAATCCGCAGAAGTTCAGTCATGTTTCGGATGCCAAGCCAGAAAATAAACAACCCCCTTCCCAAGGACGACCCTCATGTGTGCTAATGCAAAAGGGACTTGGCCCTAAGCCATAAAAAGGGTTTTCAGTTACTTACATAGAAAAATACAAGTATTTACTTTTCGTCTGACCCCCAAAGAGCCCACACCACACCACCACATCGAACTGAGTGGCCCAAGTCTCAAGTCACATTAGTGGAAACCCCACTGCAAAAACCTCACTTTTAACCCCAGAAAGGTCACGTGGCAGCCGAAAACTTTCGTCGAGAAACCAAAGTAAAATGTCAACTTGCCATTGGATGTCTCTGAGCCACCCACTCCCATTTGGGGGGTGCTCACTACCCTCTAATTAGATGTAAAAGCCCCTGGAAAAAGCCCCTCAAGTGTATCTCTTGATTAAAACTTTACAGTGTTTGGTCTTGGATTTTTACAGATCATTTGTTGCCATTTGGGCAATCACAAATGCCTGGAGCGGCATTTTCCCCACCCTGGCTAGGCTGTCCAGACTCCACTCATAAATAAAACATTTATTTACTTACCAACGGCCGTGGGGCAAAAGCTCAATTAAATTTTATGAAAAATTGCCAACGTATTCCGGATCTTTTCTCTTTTTTTAGCTGGACGTGGGTCAGTCCTCGCATCGCTAGCTGCAATCAATCAAAGGGAAAACCGGAATCTCATTAAGTTCGCCGGCTGCGTTCAATGCCCCCAAACTGTTGCATGACGTGGCGGTATTTGCAAAAGGGATTCCAGCTCTAATAGAAAAATCCCCAAAATATAAGTCCTGTAGAACCCTTAATCCCCCTCTTGGCATTGCTAAAAATAATTGGAATTTTAGATGAGATTACCTAAACAAATCTGTTTTGTTTTTTGCAAGAATTTCAAATCGAATTGCTTTAAATATTGCCCCAAACTACGAATAAACACTTCCTGCCACATTTGATTTGTCGAGGCCTTGAGTTATGGTGCAATTCCTGCCGACAGACAGAAAGCCAGCCAGTCAGCCCGCCACCTTCTAACCTCAGAAGTTGTTTCCATCGCTTCCACCATCTTTATGACCTATCCGACCGCGCGAATAATTAATTGCACACCCCGCCCATGGTCCACACCCACTTACCGCCCGCTGCCCTGCGGCTGGGGGTCAGAAATGCCGGAGTTCGTTGCGGTTCTATTTGGTTAAGGCTGCCCCTTGACTGCCGCCGTGGTTTCGGCCGAGCGTTTGCTTTTGGGCTGCGGAAATTTGCAATTCGCTGGACGCAGGCAATGCAATCTCGTCGCTTTTCCCCGCGGGAAGCGAAACTGGCTAACCAGCATACGCTGCGTATGCGTGATAAATGTGCCCTGACGTAGGCGTGGCAATTGAGGCACTCAGAGTAATTTTTGGAGTTTTAAATTATAGCTTGAAATATTTTTTAGAAGCTTTAGCGAATAGTTAGCTGTAATATTTTCCGACTTTTTATAAAAATAACTAATAAATCGATCTATAAATTTAATTTC